GGGGGGGGTTTGTGTCGTGGCGTGCAGGGCCCGTGGGGGGGGGGAGGTTGTGTCATGGCTGCAGGGCCCATGGGAGGGGGGGGTTTGTGTCGTGGCGTGCAGGGCCCGTGGGGGGGGGGAGGTTGTGTCATGGCTGCAGGGCCCATGGGAGGGGGGGGTTTGTGTCGTGGCTGCAGGGCCCGTGGGGGGTCAGGGTGGTGCCATTCCTTGGGGCAGGCTAACTCTGTGGGGCCCAGGCTCCTGCCCCCCATCAAGGGACTTTTCTTCTTTCTCCAGGCTGGGGGCCCTTGCTTGCTATCTGAGCCCTGAAGAGCTGCAGGTCCTGGCCCCGCTGCGCGACCCCTTGGGGCCGGTGGAGCAGAGCTTGCTGGCGTGTGCTGCCAACGGAGTGCTGAGCCAGCACGGACGGGTGAGCCGAGCCGCTGTGGGGGCTCCTGTGTGCGCGCTAGCAACACGGCTGTCCTGCCCTGAGCTGGGGGGGCCAGTGGGACATAGGCCCAGGCCTGGCCTCCCTCCAGGAGGGAACAAAAGCCCCTTGGAAGCCAGCCTCAGGGCAGAGCCAGTGCTGAGTGGCGAGGCAGAGAAGTCCTCAGGGCCAGAGCCGGGCTCTGCATATCATGCTGCCGGGGGGCCGTAGAGTGCAGGGCTTGGCTCGGGGGGCTGCTGGGGTGACGGGAGAGGGGCCAGGGCCCGTGTTGGTTGGCTCTTACTCTGAGCTGCAGGGGAACGTGGCTGACAGGTGAGCCACTGGCCGAGCTGGGCTCTGCTTGCAGGGGGTGTCTGGCCCATCACAATGCTGGGTGCCAGGTGCAGCTGTGTGGGGAGTGGGTGCAGCAGCTCCTGGGTAGACGCAGCCTGTGGGAATGCAGGGCCAAGGCTGTCTTGGGAATATTCCCCCCCCCCTTCCTCCAGCTGATCCCATGGCTCCAGCCCCTGCCCAGCGGGAACCTCCCTTCTCCCTGGGGAAAGCCCAGCCTGGCCCTGCTCTCCCCTCCTGCTTGCAGGTCGCCTATGCGCTGGCGGATTTGTTGCGCTCTGCTGGCCTGGCTGCTGTCGGGCCGCAGGAGCTGCGTGCCTGGCGAGGCATCGTTCCGGAGCTGGGGGTGAGGTTCCTGCAGCGCCTGTCAGCCACGCAGGTCAGGGCTCTCCTTCCAGAGCTGCAGGCTGCACACCTGACACCTGCCCAGGTGAGTACCCAACCTGCTCGCCCTCCCTGAGCCCTAGCGCCCCCTGCGGTCTCTCATATCTGGAGCCACACTTGGGCAGCAGGCCACACCATGTGGCAGGGATGTGGTGAGGCAGGCACGTCTGGGACACACTGCTGGGTGCTGGAGGCCCTGGGTGGAGAAGGAGGGTGACCAGCCCAGCCCAGCCACCTGGAGCCTTCGTGGACTTGCCAAGGTGCTCCATGGCCCAGGGCATCCCGGGAGCTCACTGTGTGCAGGGCACACACTGCCTTGTACAGGCCACTCTGCCCACGGGCAGCTGGACGTCAATCCCCACCCTGGCAAAGATCAGGGAGCTGCATGCTCGGGCAGAGCCACAGGATCGGTGCTACACCCCAAAGGGGCACACTCGTCCTTCAGGGTCGGCCGTGCAGCCTCCCTGCCTCCAGAGGCTGAACCTCTGGGGCTCCAGCCCTCCTGCTTCACAGCGGGAGCTCTGCCCAGCGAGTCCAACTGCGACAGCCTGGCAGAGACTCGCCCACTCTGCAGGGACTAAGCACCTCGCCCAGCGGCTGCAGGGACACACGCTGTGAAAACAGGCAGGTTTATAGTCACCTGGACATGCCTAGGGAGGCTTTCGGGCAGCAGAGAAATGAAGGTCCATGCTGGTCAGCCCAGAGCACTTCACCAGCCCCGCTGCCGTGAAGCCCAATTCAGGCTCGGTCTGTCTCTCTCAGGCCTGGCCTGTGCTAGAAAATCACGTTGGTTTAACTGCATCAGTCAAGGGTGTGAAAAGTCGAGCTGACCTGGGTCCCAGTGTAGACAGTGCCTCTGGGGAGGTGGATTCCTAGCCGAGGGAGAACCTCCCCCCCACCCCCCCATCGGCTCAGCAGTGTCTGCCCCGAAGCGCTGCAGGGGCACAGCTGGACGACTGGAGTGTTGGAAGCAGAGACAAGCGCTCGGTCCGAGTTCCTTCGTCAGGTCCCCAGTGAGAGCCCCGACTCCCTCCAGCAGCCAGCTCCTGTCCTCACGCCTTCCCCGGCCTTCGGGCCTGAGCAGGCGCTTTGCGGGGAACTCCAGCTGCCTCGGGGTCCATGCCAGTGACCTGGCGATTGGGTTTCCTTGGAGACGAGGTGGGGCTCAGCCAGCGAGGTGACATTCATACCCTGTCTCCCAGCCTGCCCTGAGAGCAGACAGCCCCCTGTAGCCATGTAAAATACAGGGGAAACTGAGGCACATATCGGATTCAAGACAGTATTACAGAAAATTCCCACGTGCCAATGGCCCTGCCAAGCCACCCAATGATGCAGCCTGGGCAGCCACATACAGACCCTGATGCCCCTGCAAGCTGCCCCTGGCCTGGCCCGCAGCCCCATGCTAGGGTGCCGGCTCCCAGCTCTTCACAGTGTCACCTTCTCTTCCAGGCGTCTGTGCTGCTCACGCAGGCTGTCCGGACCGAGAATGTGAGTGTGGGCTCTTCCCAGACCAGCCACCCCGACTCCCCTGCAGTGCTCTGCAGGGTGGGAGCAGGCCCAGTGTCTGTAGCCCGAGATGTGGTGCTCCTCTCTCTCATGCCCTGTTAAAAATTTCCCTCTGCTTTGGTAGTGGCCTTCCACCCCTAGGCCCCCCCCACTGCCCCTCTCAGGCCCCCAGCCCTCCCTGCTCTGGGCACAGCCTCCTATGCCCCCCCAGCCCTCCCTGCTGTGGGCACAACCCCTTTGCCCCCTTGGGCCCACCCTCTCCTGGCTCTGGGATGGGCCCCCCCCAGCCTCGCCCCTCCCCTCTCCGAATCTCCTCCTCTGTTTGCCTGGCAGGTGACGGAGGGTGTGGTGAGCAGCCTGTGCCCCCTGCTGCCAGGCCTTGGGCCCGAGTCCCTCCAGGCCATTCCCACTCCCACCCTGGTCCAGGCCTGCGAATGCCTGGCCACCGCTCTGCCTCTGCTCTCGGCCCCGCAGAAGGCAGCCCTGCTGCAGGTACCGGGCGGGCCGGGGGCTGGAGCGGACGCTGAGGGTCTGGGGACGTTGGGCTGGGGGGCAGAGGTCGAGGCACTGGAGGTGCAGAGTGGGCAGGACCTGGGGGGTATCGAGGGGGTTGCACGGACAGCAGTGCCGAGCCCAGCTTCCTATGCTGCAGGACCTGGCTCTCGCTCTGCCCGCCAGGCCCATGGGGCCGTGTTCTCCTGTGTCACAGGCTCTGTCTCCCTCGCAGCGGCTCAGCCGTGAGCAGCAGGCCCGGAGCATCTGGCCAGACTGCCTCTTGCCCTTTGTGCCCCTCAAACTCCTGCACCTGGACGCAGCGACTCTGCTGGGGCAGAGCGGCCGGTTCTGGGAGTTACCCTGGTCCCAGCAGCAGGTAACACGCTGTCGCCAGGTTGGGAGGGAGAAACCGAGCTCCCGGGCGGAGGGCTTTGGGCTGCTGTGCCTGGCTGACTCCTCCCCTCCCTGCTTCTCCACAGGCCCAGTTCCTCTGGAGGAAGGTTGAAGCGGTCACCAACGTGAGCCAGGAAACGATTCGGTGAGACACCGTGGCAGGGCCTAGCCCAAGCGTCTGGCCCCGCTGGGGCTGGCTCTGCTCGAGTGGGGTGGAGGACGTGGTGCTGTCTAACGCTGTCCCCTTGGCAGGGCACTGGGGACTCTGGCGGCTGGCATGGGCTGTGCCAGCCTGCAGCAGTTCAGTCGGAGGGCGGATTTCCTGGGGGTTCTCCGGGTTCTCTATGCATGTCCCAGCCGCCTGCCTGGGAGTCTGGTAAGGAACGAGTCGCTCGCTGTGACTCTGGCCTGGACGTATGGGTGCCCCCTGCACTGTCCTGGCACCCCCAGCCCCGCTCTGAGCCATGCGTGGTGGACCCCTGGCCGGGTCCAGGCGAGGCTGTGTCTCCCCTTTGCCTGGCCTCACTTTGTGTCCTCAGAGGCGGTGTGTCTGGGAGGAAATCCGCAGCCGGCCGGGACTCTCCGGGGAGGAGCTGGTGTGGCTGGGACCAAGGTTCCTCATGGATTTACCGTAGGTTGTCCTGCCAACGCACTGCTGCCGTGGGGCAGGGAGAGCGGGCTGTGTCACTCCAGCGCTGAGCCGGTCGTGGGTCCCCTTCCCCTCCCACCTGGGTACCCCCCCCCCCACACCTGACCTGGATACCCCTCCCTGCTCTCACCAGTACCCTCGTCAGCCATACATGGATACCTGCACTGGGATCCCTGCTTGGCGTCACAGAGCTGATTGGCTACCACCACACTGCTGTGAGCTGGGGAGTCCGAACCTGCAGGGTCCACCACTGCCCCAATCTTGGAGTCCCCAGGCAGACTCTGGGGTGCAGACCAGCGGTCTGACCAGGTGCCTGCTCCCACGGGTGCAGTGCTGGCTGCAGACCCCTGCCTGAGGTCGCCCCAGAGGGTGGCCTGGTGAGGACCGGGGAGCTCCCGGCAGTCTGAGCACAGACACACACGGACATAGAGCCCAACACATCTCTGCTCTTGGTGCTCGGTTCCCAGGGGGGAGCTCGCCCCTAGGGCCACTGAGTCTGAGCCATCAGAGTAGGGCAATAGGTCTCAAACTTTTGTACTGGCGACCCCTTTCACATCGCAAGCCTCTGAGTGCAACCCCCCCCCCCAATAAATTAAACACACTGTTTAATATATTTAACTCCATTATAAATGCTGGAGGCAAGTGGGGTTTGGGGTGGAGGTTGACAGCTCGCAACCCCCCATGTAATGACCTTGTGACCCCCTGAGAGGTCCTGACCCCCAGTTTGAGAACCCCTGGAGTAGGGTGACCAGATGTCCTGTTTTTAAAGGGACAGTCCTGTTTTTTGGCACCTATTACCTCCCACCCCCGTCCCATTTTTTCAGTTTGTCACGGAGTGGGGAAAGTCAGGGCCCTGCACCCCCCTTCCTGCGATTCACTAGGACTCTCAGCCAGTAACACAGAAGGGTTATTAGACAACAGGAACACAGTCCCAAGTAGAGCGTGTAGGTACAACCAGAACCCCTCAATCAAGTCCTTCTGGGGGGGGTTAGGGAGCTTAGACCCCAGCTTGAGGTTCCCTGTGTTGCACCATCCAGCCCAAGACTGAAACCAAAACCTCCTCCAGGAGCTCTCTCCCCCTCCCCCCTGCTCCTCCTCTCCTTTTGTCCAGAAGGTGTCACTTCTCCCACCCCCTCCTGGCTCAGGTTACAGCTCAGGTACCTTCCTTCAAGGGAAGTCCCCATCTCCAATGTAACTTCCCTGCAACATTCCCAGGTCAAATCCGCCCGCTCCCTGCTCCGCTCCCTGCTCCGTCACAGAGCTGCCATCTGGTAACCCGACATCAGAGCCAAGAATGCGAGTCCCAGCGCTCAGAAGGGCTTGACAGTGGCTCTGCCTGGGCACCCCAGACCCTGGGGGCTGGACTCTGGTTAGGTCCGGGAGGCCGGGTCCCTTCGCAGCAGCCTGGTGGGGGCCGAGAAGAGGAATGTGACAGACCCCACTGAGGGGCGGGGCCTGGAGGCTCTGTGCTAAGGTAGCCCCACCCTTGGCCCTGCTAGTCGGGCGTGGCAGGGCAGAGGACTTTAAAAGGGGGAGGCTACAGTCAGCAAGGGGGACGCCCTGAGATGGGAAGGGCTGGAGTGGCTCCTGAAGCAGCAGGAGGAGCCCCCACACCAGAGACACGTCTCCTCCCCCCCCCGCCCTCGTGAGAAGTCCAGCGAACCCAGGGGGCAAACCTGGGAGGGCATGATTGGCAGTGACCTGGCCAGAAGGACTTCAGGAAAGCTGCCCCCCAGGTACCCCTGAGGTTAGACGGCACCATGCTGGCGGCTCCTGTCTCCAGAGGGAGGAGACAGCTCACTGGCCCTGGGCGCCATACCCCTCGCCTTCCTGGTGCTGAGGGCCCGAGGGCAAAGGCTAGGCACAGCCGGGAGCCGGCTTCCCCCAGCCGCCAGCTCAGCCAGTGCAGCCCCAGAGCCCATAGGGAGCAGTCCCCACAGGACTCTTGCCCCAGACCTGTGGGTGCATTTCCTGGGTGCTGCTGGGCCCTGCCCCACCCCACCCTGGACCCTGCACTTCTGTGTCCTGGCCCCTACCCTCCACCCCTTGCCTGGCTCTGCCCCACTCTATCCTAGGTCCCACCCCATCCCAACCTGAGTCCTGCCTTGCCCTGCTGTATCCTTGGCCCTTTCCCTCGCCCGGCTCTGCCCTGGTGCGTCATGGGCCCTGCCCCCCTGCCCCTGCCCCCTCCCAGGCCCTGCCAGCCGCGCTGAGGCGTCTCTGACTCTTTCAGGGCGAAGCTTGTGGACAAACTGCCCAACGACTCGGTCAGGCTGATTCTGGACTATGTGAGCAGCCACCCCCAGAGCCTGCTGATGCTGCCGCCCCACCGCCGGGCTGCCCTGGCCCACAGGGCCCTGCGCCTCCTGGTAAGGAGGGGAGGGGTTCGTGGCGGGCAGCTGCAGGGAGGGCAGGGCTGGGCCTCACCCACTCCGCTCCCTCTCCTGCCAGCGAGCGCCGGCCGAGACCGAGATCCCAGGCGAGGTGCTGGACCTTCTGGGCCCGCTGCTGGGGTTCCTGGGCCAGGAGGCTGCTGCCCACGTCCAGCCCGAGAGCCTGCTGCTGCGCCTGGAGGAGCTGCAAGGGGCCTGCCTGGCGGAGGGGTTTGCTGAGGAGCTGGGGAGGTTGCTGCTGACGGAGCGGGTGCTAGGGTAAGGCGGGCCCCAGCCCTGCGCAGCCGGCTTTGGTGCCACTCGCTGCCTCTTCCTGCCTCACCCTGCTTTTCCCTCGCAGCCCGCCGCAGTGCTGGAGCCTCCTGGACGTGCAGCAGCTGGGACGCCTGGTGTTCCTGCTACCGGTGGAGAGCGTCCGGCTCATCCCGAGGGTGAGACCAGGGTCCCCACGCCGGCCGCGTCCCGTCCCTCCGCCCTGTCCACCCGTCCCTCCATTCCTCCCACCCCTTGTCCCTCCGTTCCTCCAGCATCCCTCCGCCCATTGCCTCGCCTTGCCCCGCCCCTCTGCTCTGTCGCCCTGTCCACCCGTCCCTCCATTCCTCCCACCCCTTGTCCCTCTGCGTGTCCCTCCGTTCCTCCAGCATCCCTCCACCCATCGCCTTGCCTTGCCCCATCCCTCCGCCCTGCCCCGCCCCTCCGCTCCGTCGCCCTGTCCACCCGTCCCTCCATTCCTCCCACCCCTTGCCCCTCGTGCCAGCTGTGCTGTGCCCCGCCCCCCCATGCCGTGCCATGTCCCACCCTCCCCTTCACCTACACGTCCTGTGCCCCCCGGGTGCCCCACACTAACCAGGCCTTGTTCAGGTGGGTGCTGGCGGCAAGCTCCATGCTCAGCCCTGCTCACTCTTGTGTCTCCCAGGAGGTACGGAGCAGAGACACCCTGGAGCAGCTGCTGCAGAGCCAGCGGGAGTGGGAGCAGAGCGAGCCAGGCCGGCTGTGCCAACCCCCTGGTGCCCAGGGACGGGTGAGGAGCCGGAAGGAGGCACTGGTGGCCTGGCTGGTGAGAAGCAGCCCAGTGGGGGCACAAGGTGAGACGGCGGGTCACACTGCCCCACCTGCACTGCCGGTGCTCGGCCCATCACCCCCTCCCCCAGCACAGCACCATCACCTTTCCCGTCCCCCGGGCAGCCCACCCCAGGGGATGCCATCTCCCTGTGTCCTTCCCCTTCGGGGCAGGCTCCCATCTTACCTCAGCGCAGTGCCATCTCCGTGTGTCCTCCCCACCCAGGGGCAGGCTCCACCAATGCCAGACACACAAGCTCCCCTGCCCTGCAGTGTCTCTGGGGGATGGGGTGGGCAGGGCAGAGCTCGGTGACTAGGGTGACCAGATGTCCCGATTTTATAGGGACAGTCCCGATTTTGGGGGCTTTTTTTTATACGGGCACTTATTACCCCCCACCCCGTCCCGATTTTTCACACTTGCTATTTGGTCACCCTATCGGTGACACCTCCCTGGCCGGGGTCGCTCACGCTCTGTTCTTGGCAGACCCTGTTCCCAGCTGCGCTGACATGCGAGCCACCTACCCTGCGGCCTGGAGCGTGGCACAGATCTCCAGCATGGCCCCCTCCCACTTCGAGGGCTGCCTGGATCTCATCAGTCAGGACCCTGCACTCTCGCCCGAGCAGCTCCGCGCCGCTCTGGGCAAAGCCAAGCAGGTGAGAGACAAGCCGGTGAGCTGGAGAGGGCGTGCAGCCATGGGGAACTGGTGTGGCTAGAGCCCCGGCTGAAGCTGCTGGGGCCAGGGGCAGGCAGAGCTGGCGTGGCTAGGTCCCAGATGGCATTGGTACCCACCGAAGGGTGTGAGTGGGGCATGGAATGGGAGATGGGCGGGTTCTAAGCTCACTGAGACAGGGAAGAGGGTGGGGAGAGCTGTACTCCTCAAGTGGGGGAGGGGGATCCAGGCTCACTCAGTGGGGCAGCCAGCAGTGCTCAGTGCTGTGCTTGTGGGGGGAGCTGCTCTTGCTGGGGGGCTGTGTCAAATATTTTTATGATTCCTGTGTGTGCCTCAGTTTCCCTCTGTGCTTTGCATTGCTAGATACAGAGCAAAGGGTTAAAAAGCTGCTCTTGAAGCAGGACGTGAGCGGTCGGGGTCAGTCTAGCTGTCTGGGGTGAGATGAGTGCAGAGCCAGCGCTGGGCGTAACCCACTAAGCAATTGCTTAGGCCTGTGAGCCGCTCCCGGGTTCCCCCATTCGCTTTGTATGAGAAGAAGGTGTCTGCTGGGGGCGGATATTCCTGTGCAGGGCCCCGATGGGCTGCCCCGGCTCTCCATGGGCCGTTACAGAGGATCTGGAGGGACAATGGGAAGCCCCAGGGTTGTTTCGCCACTAGCAATGTGAGCTCTGCAGGACTCTGGCCATGGACAGAGACCTGCCGGGGCTGGGATCAGAACCAGCCTCTGGGGAGACACAGGAGCTGCCTTGGGACTGAAACAACGGGGCAAGGAGGGAGAGGGGAACCAGGAGCAGCCTGGCTCGGGGAGCCTGGCTTGGCCAGACTGGATAATGGCTGAACCCTGGTGGCTCTGTGCTGCCCGAAGGCCTTCCCAGGCCGTGCGCAGGGACTAACACACCTGCTCTGGCTGGACAAGGCTGCCTGCCGGCGGGGTGCTGCCGGGCATCGCTCGCCCACAGAGCACAGCCCGGCCCAGCAGGCTCAGCTGGACTGGCAGGGCAGATCTCCTGGGGAGACGCTGCAGGGCTGCGGCCCAGAGGCTCAGGCTCGGAGGTGGGGGGGCTCATGCCCTGCCCTGAAGGATGGGCGGGACCCCGCAGGGTCTGGGACACTGAAGGGCTCCTCCGGGGGAGGTTTAAGAGCTGGGGCATAGGAGAGCCTGGGATGGTGTGCTGTGGGGAACCGTGCTTCGGGGGTGGGGGTGGGGGGGTGATCACAGGGGGTGGGAGGAGCTGTGCCCATCAGTGGGAGGGGGAGCCATGCTCATGGGGTGGGAGCCATGATTCGGGAGGGGGGAGCCACGCTGGGGGAGGTGTGATCACAGGGGGAGGGGGAGTGTGTGCTCACAGGGGGAGGGGGGAAGTTGTGCTGGGGGGAGGCGTGCCCATCGGGGGGAGGGGGAGCCATGCTGGGGAGGCACCATTTTTGCAATGTCCTGTCCTTCGTGCCGTGCAGCTGTTTGGAACTGCCCAGCCCCTGCAGCCGGTTCATGTCCTGCAGCTGGGCCTACTGGCCACCCAGCTGAGCGAGCAGGAGCTGCACGAGCTGGAGCTCTCCAACTGGGGGGCCCTCTCTGTCCTGGGGGTCCTGGAAGGCTGGACAGCAAGACAGGTAAGGCCTCATTCAGTGCCCCTGGGCCATGGCAAGGAGCCCAACCCTCCTGTGCCCCAAAAGCCCCTGGGCCCGCCTCCCAGCCCCGGCTCATGGGGATTGGGCTGGGGCCCAGCCCTGCTGCCTGCTGAATGTGGGTCTGTCACGGAGTGTGGGGGACACCAGGCCCTGCACCCCCCTTCCTGCGATTCACCAGGACTCTCAGCCAGCCAGTAAAACAGAAGGTTTATTTCGACGACAGGAACGCAGTCCAAAACAGGTCTTGCTGGTACAGACAACAGCCCCCCCTTTAGTTAGGTCCATCTGGGGGCCCAGGGAGGCCCCAGCCCCGTCAGGAAGCCCAAGCCCCATCGGGGCACCCCTCTCCATTTTCCAGCCAGCTCCAAACCTGAACAGGCCCTTCAGGCCCCCCCTTTCTGGCCTTTTCCCGGCTCCTCCCCCAGCCTTTGTGTCCTTTGTCCAGTTCCCTGGGGCAGAGGTGTCACCTGGCCTCCAACCCCCCTGCTGGGTTCTCAGGTTACGTGCTCCGGTCTCCTCCTTTCCCCAGTGCAGGCAGCCCCAGCAAAACTCCCCTGCAACCTTCCCAGGTCAATACTCCCCACTCAGCATTCAAAGACCACATCAAGAACATTCCCACTTCGTCACCGGGTCTGGCTGGGGTGAGGGGGCTTCCCTGGGCTACGCTGACGGGGGCCGCTCTCCCCCCAGATGCGAGCCGTGGTCTCCAGCTTTCTGCGCCAGAGTGGGATGAGTGTGCAGGGCCTGGCACTCCCAGAGCTGGCTGCCCTCGGGCACCTCCTGTGCGGTCTCCGTGCCGATGAGATGCGGTTACTGAACAGCCGGGAGTTCAGGTCTGGGACTGGGGGTGCAGCCACGGGGAGGGAGTATGGGGGGGGGCCTTTGGGAGCTGGGGTTCAGAGAATCCCAGTTTACAGGTGTTAATGCCGCTCTGAGTCCAGCAGCCAGAGAGCGAGAGGCAATTGGGAGTTGCCCAGCAGTGGGGCGTGAAATGTGTATGCTGGTCCAGGGGAGCAGTGTCGGCCCTGAGGGGCACTTGTGGGGTGGTGTCTGGGTGCCATCGGTGTTGGGGGTGGCGGCTGTGACTCTGGGGGATGGGTCTGACGTGGGCTGTGCTCCCTTCTCCCACAGCCAGGCTGCCCCGTTCGTGGGCTCCCTGAGGCTTGGCTGCTCTGAGAGGCAACTGGAGACACTGGCTGAGCTGCTGACATCCCGCTTGGCGTTCGGCCCCGTTAGCAGCTGGGGCCCTGAAATCTTCACTGAGATCGGAACACTGGCAGGTGAGGGGGGCCGGGTGGAGCGGGGCAGCGGGACCCTGGGGAAGGTGGTGGGAGGCAGGGACTGGGGGGTAACTGGGTAGCCGAGGAGAGTTTGGCCATGGGCCTTCTGCTCTGAACCGCCTGGCCAGTGTCCTGCAACTCCTAGCGTCCCCTGTGTGTAGGAGGTGCATGACAGACCAGACCCACAGCCCATCCAGCCTGGAATGCTCTGACCCACGGCCCATCCAGCCTGGAACCCCTGGGCCCCTGCATCAGCTCAGTCCCACGGCCCCATCCAGCCTGGAACCCCTGGGCCCCTGCATCAGCTCAGACCCACGGCCCCATCCGGCCTGGAGCCCCTGAACCCCCTGCATCAGTTCAGACCCATGGCCCATCCAGCCTGGAACCCCTGAACCCCCTGCATCAGTTCAGACCCACGGCCCATCCAGCCTTGTACGTCCCCCACCACGTTGGACCAGGCCCCTGGGTCCATCCAGCTCAGTAGAACTCCGCTCCCCTCAGGAGTCCCAGATCCCAAGGCCAGAGGGGACCATTGTGCCCATCTAGTCCAACCCCCTGCCTAGCACATGCCAGAGCCCAGCCCCACAGTGACCCTAGAGCAGAAACCCCCAATCAGGATGTGAGCCTGGCCAGGGGGAGGGGGGAGCTGTGCTGGGGGAGAGACTCTCCCCGGCCCTTGGGCAATGGTGCCAGTGATTAATGATGCACTGGGAAATATTTAGGCCTTATTCCCAGCCTGACTTTATCCAGCTCCAGCTGCCAGAGCAGAAGGCTGATCCCAGCTATGTCAGTGCCCCCGTGAGGGCTTCCCTGGGTGCGGGTGGGGAGGGGACATTTGCCCTGGGTCCCCTGTTTGACAGGGCCCCCAAACCTGGTGACATTATGACCTGGTGCACAGGGATGCAGCATCATTGAGGTTTGGCCTGGTGGCCCCGCTCTCGTCATGATGGACGGGTGGCCAGGCCAATCACGAGTGGTGCTGCGAACGTCTGCCCCGTGTCGCAACACCTGCGGGGGGGGGGGGTGCTGGGCCCAGCCCCACAGGACAGGAGCTGCCTCGGCAAGTGAGTGCAGGCCAGGCCCCCTTTCAGACCCACCTCCCAACACGCTTTCCAGGGCTCCCCTCAGGGGTGGTGGGTTTGAGGCAGGGGAAGCTCAGTTTCAGGTTTTGCCCTGGGCCCCCAAAACCTCTGTGCAGCCCTGATCACCACCACCACACTGGACCAGACCGTGGGGCCCACCTAGCCCAGTCCTGCCCGAGCCAGTCTCTGGTGCACGGTTCCCTCCGGGGCTGGCCAGCTGGGCGGGAGAGAGCAGGGGAAGAGCGCGGGGTGGTAACCAGCCCTGCTCTGTGTCCCTCCCCAGCTGGGCTCCAGGACATCGTCCTGTCCTCGCTCATCCCCGAGCAAATCCGGGCACTGACCCCGCTGGCCATCGCGGGGATCCCAGCACCCAAATTCACCGTGAGTTGCAGCCCTGCTTGTGCCCACAAAACCCCGTCTTCCTGCACTGGCATGTGGTGGGGCCCTAGCTCCAGTGTAACGAACCACAAATCGAATTCTGACTGGGGACAAAGGGGTCGAGTCCAAGGAGGTGGGGGCTGGGATCTCTGCCATGGGCAGGGTTTGGGGGACAGGGGGCTGGAATCCCCCTCCCCGTGGGCCGAGCTCGGGGGGAGCAGGGGGCTGGGATCCCCCTCCCCGTGGGCCGAGCTCGGGGGGGACAGGGGGCTGGGATCCCCCCTGTGGGCAGAATTTGGGGGGGACAAGGAGTTGGGATCCCCCCGTGGGCTGAGCTCAGGGGAGCAGGGGGCTGGGACCCCCCGTGGGCCGAGCTCAGGGGAGCAGGGGGCTGGGACCCCCCGTGGGCAGAGCCAGGGGGCTGTGGGGTTCGCTCTGT